CCACAGCAATGTCCCCACGCCACAGCAATGTCCCCACGCCACCAACACCGCAGGGAGAGCGTCCCCAGTGTCCCCCACCACAGCACCCCCCGGGCAGGACATCCCCGCTGTCCCCACACCCGCAGGTGTTCGGGAACATCGGGATCGAGGAGGAGGACGATGAATCGGCCATCACCCAACACAACAACTTCAGAACCTTCTTCCAGGCGCTGATGCTGCTCTTCAGGTGAGCCGGGCTGGCACCCACCGTCACCTGGGGTCACCTGGGGTCACCCTGTGTCACCCCGTGTCACCCTGTGTCACCCTGTGTCATCCCACTGTCACCCCGTGTCACCCTGTGTCACCCCACTGTCACCTGGTGTTACCTGGTGTCACCCCGGTGTCACCCCATGTCACCCCGTGTCACCCCATGTCACCCCAGTGTCACCTGGTGTCACCCCAGTGTCACCCCAGTGTCACCCCATGTCACCCCATGTCACCCCAGTGCTACCCTGATATCACCCGGGTACCCAGTGTCACCCCTGTGTCACCCCGGTGTCACCCGGATATCACCTGGGTACCCAGTGTCACCCCAGTGTCACCCCAGTGTCACCCCAGTGTCACCGTGGTGTCATCCTGTGTCACCCAGTGTCACCCAGTGTCACCCGGTGTCACCCCAGCATCACCCAGGTACCCAGTGCCCCCCCAGCACGGTCCACAGTGCCACCCAGTGTCACCCTGGTGTCACCCACCCCATGAGATCTGCGCCGCTGTGTCCCCTCCCCATGTCCACCCCTGTGTCCCCCCCGTGACTGTCACATGTCACACGTCACATGTCACATGTGTGTCCCCAGGAGTGCCACGGGCGAGGCGTGTCACGAGATCATGCTGTGTCACATGTCACACGTGTGTCCCCAGGAGTGCCACCGGCGAGGCGTGGCACGAGATCATGCTGTGTCACATGTCATACGTGTGTCCCCAGGAGCGCCACCGGCGAGGCGTGGCACGAGATCATGCTGTGTCACATGTCATACGTGTGTCCCCAGGAGTGCCACGGGCGAGGCGTGGCACGAGATCATGCTGTCGTGCCTGAGCGGGAAGCCGTGCGATGAGAATTCCGGCATCAAGGAGGACGAGTGCGGCAACGAGTTCGCCTATTTCTACTTCGTGTCCTTCATCTTCCTCTGCTCCTTCCTGGTGAGCGCTGGGGGGGTCCCCAAATCCCCCCTGTGCACCC